CCACACACACTCAGACACGCGATATATATATATATATATATATATATATATATATATATATATATATATATATATATAATATATATTAATATATAATATAATATATATATATATATTATATGTATATGTATATCTATATAATATATAATATATATATATATATATATATATATATATATATATATATATATATATATATATATATATATATATATATACATATATATATATATATATATATATATAATATATATATTATAATATATATATATATATATACTATATATATATATATACATATATATATATATATATATATATTATTTACATATATATATAATATATATTATATATTAATATATATATAATATATATATATATATATATATATATATATATATATTATATATATAATATATATTTCCATATATAATAATATATATATTATACATATATTATACATATATATGCATATATACGCATATATATACATTATATAATATAATACATACATATATATAATATTATATATATATATATATATATATATTATGAACATGAATATTTTCTTATGGCAAGCTCTAAAAAGAAGAAAAAAAATAAAGTAAATAATGCAAACCAACAAGATAAAGACACCAGAGACCAACGATTTTCACACAATATACGTATCCAAACGAAGCGCAAGATCCAAATGTCATTTTATCGATTCTATTTTATCCAAACTTTCTTTTATCTATTCTGTTTTATCCAAATCTTCTCTTCTCTATTCTATTTTATCCAAATGTTTTTTTCTCTATTTTATCCAAATGTCATATATCTATTCTATTTCATCCAAATGTCATTTTCTCTATTCTATTTCATCCAAATGTCATTTTCTCTATTCTATTTTATCCAAATATCATTTTATCTATTCTATTATATTCAAATGTCATTTTCTCTATTCTTTTTCATCCAAATGTCATTTTCTCTATTCTATTTTATCCAAATGTCATTTTTTATCCTCATTTTATCCAAATGTCATTTTTTATCTATTCTATTTTATCCAAATGTCATTTTATCTATTCTATTTTATCCAAATGTCATTTTCTCTATTCTATTTTATCCAAATGTCATTTTCTCTATTCTATTTTATCCAAATGTCATTTTTTCTATTCTATTTTATCCAAATGTCCTTTTCTCTATTCTATTTTATCTAATTGTCATTTATCCATTCTATTTCATCCTCATTTATCATCTCCAATTCATTTTATATTCTATTTATCAAATGTCATTTTCTCTATTCTATTTTATCCAAATGTCATTTTCTCTATTCTATTTCATCCAAATGTCATTTTCTCTATTCTATTTTATCAATGTTTTATCCATTCTATTTTATCCAAATGTCATTTTCTCTATTCTATTTCATCCAAATGTCATTTTATCTATTCTATTCTATCCAAATGTCATTTTCTCTATTCTATTTATCCAAATGTCATTTTCTCTATTCTATTTCATCCAAATGTCATTTTCTCTATTCTATTCTATCCAAATGTCATTTATTTTCTCTATTCTATTATCCAAATGTCATTTTCTCTATTCTATTTCATCCAAATGTCATTTTCTCTATTCTATTTTATCCAAATGTCATTTTTTCTCAATTCTATTCTAAATGTCATTTCTCTATTCTATTTTATCCAAATGTCATTTTATCTATTCTATTTTATCCAAATGTCATTCTCTATTCTATTTCATCCAAATGTCATTTTTCTCTCTATTTAAATGTCAAATGTCATTTTTCTTTCTATTTATCAAATGTCATTTTCTCTATTCTATTTCATCCAAATGTCATTTTCTCTATTCTATTTTATCCAAATGTCATTTTTCTCAATTCTATTCTATCCAAATGTCATTTTCTCTATTCTATTTCATCCAAATGTCATTTTCTCTATTTCTATTTTATCAAATGTCATTTTTCTTCTATTCTATCCAAAATGTCTATTTCATCCAAATGTCATTTTCTCTATTCTATTTTATCCAAATGTCATTTTATCTATTCTATTTTATCCAAATGATTCTATTCTATATGTCATTTTATCTATTCTATTTTATCAAATGTCATTTTTTCTCAATTCTATTCTATCAAATGTCATTTTCTCTATTCTATTTTATCCAAATGTCATTTTCTCTATTCTATTTTATCCAAATGTCATTTTCTCTATTCTATTTTATCCAAATGTCATTTTATCCAAATGCCAATGTCTATTTATCAATGTCATTTTCTATTCTATTTATCCAAATGTCATTTATCTATTCTATTTTATCAAATGTCAAATGTCATTTTCTCTATTCTATTTTATCCAAATTCATTTTATTATTCTTTTATCCAAATGTCATTTTAATTCTTTTTATCCAAATGTCATTTTATCTATTCTTTTTATCCAAATGTCATTTTATCTATTCTATTTTATCCAAATGTCATTTTATCTATTCTATTTTATCCAAATGTCATTTTATCTATTCTTTTTATCCAAATGTTTTTATCTATTCTTTTATCCAAATGTCATTTTATCCAAAATGTCATTTTATCGTTTATCCAAATGTCATTTTATCCAAATGTTCTATTTTATCCAAATTTATCTATTCTTTTATCCAAATGTCTCTATTCTATTTATCCAAATGTCTATTTTATCCAAATGTCATTTTCTCTATTCTATTTTATCCAAATGTCATTTTATCCATTCTATTTTATCCAAATGTCATTTTATTCCAAATGTCATTTTATCTATTCTATTTATCCAATGTCATTTTATCTATTCTATTTTATCCAAATGTTTATCCATTCCAAATGTCATTTTATCTATTCTATTTTATCCAAATGTCATTTTATCTATTCTATTTCATCCAAATGTCTATTCTATTTTATCCAAATGTCATTTTATCTATATGTCCCTTTTCTCTATTCCATTTGTTCTCTAATCTTTCCCCGCACTTGCAACTTACAGTAAGAGAGGGAGAGGATGTGCAGGAGGTTCCAGCGGCCAGTCCCCAGGCGGGACATGACGTCATCGAGTCGCTTCGCCATATCAGGTCATGTGATCAAGCCAGGTCAGCACTCAGCAAAGGTCACTCCAACATATCTGGTAAATAGGTTTTCTATGTAAATAGCCTTATGAAGAGAACACACATACACGCACACACACACACACACACACACACACACACACACACACACACACACACACACACACACACACGCACGCACGCAGGCACTGGCGTCTAGAAGTTTTATATCACAAATATTTGCATTAATAAATATATTAATGTATTTATTAAACACACAACATATATACATATATATACACGCACACACATACACACACACACACACACACACACACACACACACACACACAGTATATATATATACCATATATATATATATATATATATATATATATATATATATATATATATATATATATATATATATATATATATATATATATATATATATATATATATATATATATATATATATATATATATATATAATGTATCAGTCCATCTAGGTTGGCTTCCACTAGAAGTCTTAGATTCTGTACGGAATCGTAACCAGAATCAACTATCTGATATGTTTTAACGGCCAAATAAAAGCTAAAGCTGTTTCACTGTAATTTTTCGCTAGAGACTTACTTGAGGACAGCTTCTAAAGTCACGTTGAGGCCTTTATTTCTAAAGTAAAAAAGTTTATTGAAATTAGGGAGTACTAAAGTAGGAGCTTCTGTGGAGTACGTTTTTACAAATATCAAGTTGCTATTCATTTGACCGACTGAGGGGGGCTTCTTTTGGTAAAAGGCCGGTAAGAGTGTGGGAAAGTTTGGCTATATCTTTAACAAAGGTTTTTAGGATCTTTCTAAATAAAGGAAAGACTATTTGCTTGGTTGTGGAAAATTAAGAATAGCATCAACCTTTCAATCTCTATATGGAAAAAACATAAATTTCTTAGGGTTAGTGGTTAAGCCAGTTTCAGTTGTTCTTTTAAAACTTCTTTAACTAATCATCATTGAAATAAAGCCATGATAACAGTCACAAGCGAGAGAAGGTTATAGATGAACTTATTGGGCCAAAGGGCATTCCTATCTACCCTTGTACAGTTAAAAACCCAAATCAACTTTCACCGATATAGCGAGAGACAAGGAGACGAGGAAAAAAAGTTTGAAAAGGACAGGGAGAAGACACGAAAATGCCAAAACCCACCTAGCACTCACGATAAAGAACTACTAACACACCATACTTAAGATATACCTTATTTGGCGGACGCTATTTAAGTTAGGATATGCTGGAAACATCTGCAAGTCCGAGGAGATGGCACAGAAAGTTATACATTCACTTCAAATCATCATGATCCACTCTGAATTGAACGAGACGCACCCCCTCTCTCTGAACGGCTTTAACTGTCAAGGCGTTTACCACTACTGCACGTTCAGCAATATTTTGTCTGTTTACTAACTAAAAGTTGTGGCTTTTTCATATATACATTTCACTGGTTGAGAACTGTGAAACCTTGTAGAGCTAAAATGCTCATGAATGATAATCTTTCTCTTTACTAGTAATAAGGTAATTCTCTTCAGCATATAATTTTATTGTTTTTATTTCTGTATGTATAAATATCTGTTCTAGGTATCTCTATCTCTATATTTTTATCTGTATGTATCTCAATTTTTATCTTTTTATAAGTATTCTAGCGAAGCTATACTTAATTACATCTCATTTTTTTCAATCATGCCTTTTCTATATTTGTCGCAATGAGCTCTGTTCACTATTTCCATAGGCTATATTTCTATCTTTTTGTTTACATCCTAATCTCTG